GGTAGTGACGATTCTCTCCGGCCAATCCGTGATCAACAGAGTTTAGTAACGGTACGTTTTCGTAACGGTACGGTTCACTTGGAACCTCAACCGAGGTGGTACTAAAAAAAGTACCAGGTACCGGGTACTGTACTCAGTGGAAAACCCCCCAAAAGTGGACCGTACCGAGCCGAACCGGACCAGGTACTGTACTGTGGAAAACCACCCAAAATTGAACCGTACCGAGCCGTACCGTGCCGTACCATGCAGTGGAAAAGCGCCATTAGTTACACTCGAAGTGGATTGGTCTCTCTGGCGAGATTCCCAATTCGTCGGTCACCGACGTGACGTCGAGAGTGACCGACTGAAAGGAAACAAATATTCAATGCAATCTCAATTAATATGATGTAATTAAAACTGAATGCATATTAAATGAAAATAAATACATAGAAATAATAAATAAGCAAAATGCTTTATAAAATACTTTAACATGGAGTAGTAATAATTATGATATGTCCACTATATAATATATGATAACCCTGATTAAAAATGTGAAAAATACGCATTCATCCCTTTAAATTGAGTAAGACAGAAATGCTCTTACCTTGTGGGTTAACATTTGGTAACAATGTCCGAAGATCTTTCTTTCTAAATTTTGGTAACTTTGTTATGTAGTGTCTAGCCTAGAAAAAAAAGTGGTTTAGATTTTCACATCTCATAATATATCTGGTGAGAGGTCTGCAAACTAGTCTTAGTATGAAAATTTAACTGAAACACACATCTTCAGACTGTAGTTTGGCCGTGAACTCTTTTGTGGGCGTCCCTGTAATCTTCATGATCTCCATCAGCTGATCCAGGTCTGGTGGAAAATGGTCAAGGATTCAAATATACTGGGGATGAGACTTAGGGAAGTAATCACCACATCAAAAATACAATGACAAAAATTCTCCTAAATTTGTACATAAAAACCACAGCTTTTCTGCGAGGAAGGATACGGTCATTTCCTTTGAACAGTGGTTTCCCTAGCAGCATCTCTGCCATGATGCATCCGACTGACCAGATGTCCACTGACGGGAAACATTTAATCAAACACAAACATGTCTCTGTATTATCATCAGTTTAAATAGCAATTGTGCAATATCTCATTAATCAAGAATTTCTATTACCTTTATGAAAGCGATAAAATA